CGTGAGCCGCCACCCCAGCCTCTGCTGCCGCCATCTGACCGCGAACCTGGCCTGTCTCCCGGGCCTGCTGGGGCGGGGCTGCAGGGACCAGAGGCTGGGGCAGCAAACAGGACTTGGGCCCTGAGGACCGCCATGTTCTGATGGCCAGCAGGAAGGATCCTAGAAGCAAAGCAAAAGAAAGGCGGGGTGCGGTGGTGGCCCCCAGCTCCAGAGCAGCCCTCCTCGGGCGGGAGGAGCATCTTCCTCCAGAGGCTTCTGCTTCCTCCCCTCTGGGCTGCAGGGAGCTGAGCACCAAGGGGCCACCCTGGAGGAGGGCCACCCAGCTGGGACAGGTGATCCGGAATCAAACTCTGGGTACGTTGGACCCCCGCAGTTCTGTGCTCGGTTCTGGGACTCTAGCTCACAGAAAAGGGTGTCACCAGGAGCACCAGATGGCGTAATGGTTACGTTGCTGGACTCCCATGTAGTTGACCGCAGTTCGAGTCCTGGATCCGGCAGCTTAAAACTCACACTGGGCACATATGTGTGTGCATCCCCGAATCCTGAGAGGAGAATGGAGGAGAAGGATTGTGGTATGGCCATCCCCCCGGGGGTGATTTCTCACTTTCTGTCTCTCTGACTCTCCAGCATGTGCACATGCCTTATAATAAAACAAAAACAAAAACTTCTCTCTAAAAAAAAAAAGAAAGAAAAGAGAAGGGTGTCACCGCCAGCCTGGGCAGGGTCTCTCCAGGGTGGTGACTCCCAGAGCCTTTACTCCGTAATGAACCCAGCATGGCGCCACACTGGAGGCCTACTGCTAGTGACACTGTCCCTACCAGACCTGGGCAGCCCCCAGGGGTCACAGAATTTCTGAAGCTGAAGAGACTTTGAAGCCCTCTAGTCCAGCCTCGGAGGAGCTGAGACTGCACCTCGAGGGTCCCCGACGCCCGAGTGTGGCCTGTGGACACTGCACCTCGCCAGGCCGGGCTGCGGCTTCATGCCTGTCAGCACTGGCGGCTCTCCCAGGCTGTGTCGGCTCCTGAGAGCTCCTCTCTGTTAGGTCCCTTTCTCCTGCTCGGTTTAGGCCCATGGAAACCACTGACATGGCCAGTCTTGCTCCACGGAGTTGTTACTCAATACGAATGGCATTCACCAATCCTCACTGTGGTGCTCCCAGAGAGAGGAAAAGCGAGGGCCGGGGTGGGCTCAGGGCTTCCCTGGGTGGAGGTGGTGGTGCACCCTCCTCATTGTCCCTTCTCCTCTCCTCGGACACACAGGCCCCATGCACCCTGGCCCCACCACCGCCTGTCCTCTGCACTGGTGTTTATACAGGATGGGCTTGAAAATTACTGGCACGGGGGACCCCTGGGTCAGAGAGGCCGGTCCCAGGGAAGGCAAAGAAAGGCCAAGACGTTGGCCTGGTCGAGGTCGTGTGGACTCGGCAGCAGCTGAGTGGGGACTGGAGCGGCCAGGCGAGCGCCCCTGCACCCCGCCCTGACAGTGTCTCTCTGCACCTTCCTCCTCCCGCGGCACACCTGTCACCCTGCTGTCAGCGCGGAATTCAGAGTGGCCCAGCCGGGCCGTGACATAACCCGCAGCTGCTCAGAATTCAGGTGCCGCTCCAGCCTTACTGCCATGGGGAGACAGCCGTAACATCTTGCTAGGTTCAACCATTGGCTGTTTGGAGAAGAATTCATCTCTGATTTATAAACCTACGTGGTCTAATTGAATATGCAGAGCAAACCTCGAGAAGACCACGGCTCTCTCTGGATGACTGAATGGTGCGTCTTTTCTTGTCTTCCTCATTTCTATTTTCTATTTTTTTCCTACAATAAACACATGATGCTTTTGAAATAAAGCAACAAGGTTTATAAATTAAAAAATCAGAGAGACAGAAAGAGAAGGAAAGTGAGAAATACCCTCCCCCCCCCCCAAAAAACCCCCCCCCCCCCCCCCCGAGGATGGTCGCACACAATCCCTTCTCCTCTCTTCTCCTCTCGGGATTTTGGGCATGCATGCACATGTGCCTGGCGTGTTTTTCAAGCACCAGATCCAGGACTCAAACCATGGAGTCAGTGATGTGAGATCCGGCTCCATAACCACCATGCCACCTGCTGGGCCCAGCACGAGGAGTTCTAAACTTCCATTTATTAGACACTGCGCCGAGGCTGTGACAGACACTGTCTCCTCACAGAGGTCACTGTCCTACCCAAGTGGCTGGTTCGGGGCAGCGTGGGGTTCAAACCCGCATGTGTCTGGTTCAAGGCCCACAGTGAAGTCAAGTCCTTCAGCAGCTGTGAGAAGGCAGAACATACATTTTGCAGGGATGGGGGAGCGAGACTCAGGAGACGCCCTCCATCCCGAGCCGCACTCGAACCCGCGAGCTCTCTGACCACTCCAGGGGCCAGCCCCTCACTCCTGCTCCATTCTGGCGGCAGGCCGGAGGTGGGAGTTTTGCTGAGATCTGGGGTAATACGTTGAAATTATCACACAATACAGGGAGTCGGGAAACTGGTTTTGGGCCAGCTGGTGGCGTGGTGGTTGGGGAGGAGGGCTCCCACATGGCCGACTGTGCCGCTCGAATCCCGCACCTGGCAGTTCGAGAAAAGGCTGGGGGCGTGAGCATGCATGCCAACATGGAGGAGAATGGAGAAGGGACATTGGTGTGGCCATCCCCCCGGGGGGATTTCTCACTTTTCCTATGGCTCTGTCTCTCTCTGGTAAGTTCACATAGCCGATAGCAAAATTTTAAAAAACAGAAACTGGTTTTATCTCTAGGAAGCTATGTGATCTTAGTTAAGTTTCTAGATATCTCTGAGCCTCGGTTTCCCTTGTGGACCATAAGGTGGCTGGATAGGGAGATTCCCGATGGACCATTAAAGAACCAGAAGTCTATGGTTCCAGGAAGAGGCCCAGGCACGAGAAGTCAGACCCTGCAGCCCGTGAGCAGGCCTGGGGGCTGCCTGCCTTCCTGAAGGCAGGCTGTCGTGGGTGGCAGTGCTGCCAGGGCCCTGCTCCCAGGTGCCTTTGTCTGGAGGCGCAGAAGTGTAAAATGCACTGCTGAAGGAGGCACCCCAGGGGCTCTCTGGGCCACCCCCTCCGTCTCAGGGATCCTTTCATCAACACTCAGCCGTGTCCAACACCAGAGAAGGGTGTGGTGCAGGCAGACTGGGGCAGAGCCCCAGGGGGAGACCAGGCCAGCAGATGTTAGAGGGGCCAGACAGGCAGCCTGGACCTGGATTCTCTGATGACCCCTATGGGTGACCTTGACTTTGAAAGACTTCAAACGGTCCTGGGGAAGGGCCGAGAGCAGCAGAGGGTGAAGCTGCTATGGGCCAGGCGGGCAGAGTGCCAGGCTCATGCTTCCTTGCCACCACAGTGCCACCCTGAGGGACGAGTGTTTCCATGTTACAGGCCAGGCTGGTCTTTAGGGCGGGTGACAGCGACGGTAGGCACCATGGCCCTGGGCGCTTCTTAAGACCATGTGGGGGGCCGGCAGTTAGCGTAATGGCTATGTCGCTGGACTCCCACGTAGTCGACCGCGGTTCACGTCCCGGACCCGGTGGCTTAAAAAACTCACGCCGGGCGCGTGTGCGTGCGTGCCCAAGATCCCGAGAGGAGAATGGAGGAGAAGGGACTGCGGCGTGGCCATCCCCCCTGGGGGGTGACTTCTCACTTTTGGTCTCTCTGTCTCTCTGGCAAGCGCACGTGTCCTATAGTGAAAACTTCTCAAAAAAAAAAAGACCGTGTGGGCATGTTTAGGAATGAGAATGAGAGCTGAGCCGACAGCCCATGTGGGTTCAGGTCTTAATCTGGCCCACCTGGCCTGGCC